ATTTGGGGTGTTCTGGCCGGGGCTGCAGAGTCCAGGCCTGGTTCTGCTCATACTGGGAGGGTGGGAATCCCTTCTGAGCTGGTGGTGAGCTCTGTCCATGTTCACTCAGATATAAATGCAAAAATATAACCTGAAATAAATTCTGGTGTGATTGGCAGAGGAGGAGAGCCAAGGTCCTGTGGTTTGTGGGTTTTTTTTCATTCCACATTAAACACAATGGGATTAAACTTTTATATTGCTCCATGTAGCCTTACAGAGTCTGTCAGTCCAGGTCCCAATAAATACCTTGTGTGATAAAAGATACTTTGAATTMCACAGTTTCCTAGGGAATAAGATATTCTGGCTGCTGTGTTTTGTACTGTTCCATTACAGTTCCAGTTTAGCTTTGCCAGGTATTAACAAAAAATATGTATTTTYTATCAGCCATTTCTCAAAGGGATTTAAGAGGCTGACAGCGAGAGGAAAYTGAGGTTTGCTCGGGAGAGACATCAAGGAGATCCAGTGCCCCTTCTGTCATGTTTTGGGAATTGCCTTGTCAGTGTGGAGAGCTGGGAGAGGCAGATCCAGGGCCCTGTGGCTGTGGCAGAGCTCAGTGAGTGAGGATGTTGGGAAGGAAGGGACTGGCACGAGAAATTCTGTGTTTCTAATCTGTTGAGTACAGATGATGTTGTTCTTGGTGAAACGGAAATTAATCCATTCTTCCTCAGCCTGTCCATGTAACTGTAGCACCAATGGGGACAACAAATCCTCCTTGGTCAGGGGCCACAGGATGGGCAGGGTGAGAAAAAGTCAGCTGGAGACACAGACCCTTCCTGGGTCATTCCTGTCCCACCAGGACTGGGGCAGAAAAGCCAGGGACAGGATTCCTCATTCTAACATGTGACAGGACAGGTTTCCATCCCTCTCCCATTCAGTTTGTCCAGCCTGGCCATGGGGATTTGCTTTTCTGGTGAATTTTGGGTAAAGGGTTTGTGGGTGGTTCTTGGTTTCAAGATGAGCCACACTCAGAGCAGTTAGAAAAATCTGTAAGGGCCGTAGTAAACAGGGATATTTGCAGCTGAACAAAGTGTTCTGTGAGGAATTGGGGTGGTTTGGGTATGAAGGGACTCTCGGAGGTGAAGAGGGAGTCAGGCCCAGCAGAGTGAAACACTCCCAGTGTGGTGCCCGGTGTGGAAGAGCTGTGCTCCCCCCTCACATCACCCTGTGCCTGTGAGGATGGATAAACCTCCTGAGGATGGATAAACCCCCGTGCCAGGCACCTGCTCCAGAAATCCCTCATCACACACCCCGGGATGTGTTCCTGGGCAACATCAGGGAGGAAACCGGGCTGGGGACAAAGAAAGAAAAGGAACTTGATGGAGAAAACCCTCCTGCTAAAGTCAAAGTGAAAACACAAATCTGGAGATGCTGAGCTGCTCCCGGAGCCGACCCCAGCCCTGCGTCGCACCTTGCCTGGATCCCGCACCAACCGGGATATTTTACCCGTTTTTTTTTTGCTTTGCGCTGCGCTCCGTTTCCAGGCTCAACCCTCCCGCGAACTGCTGATGGCAGAGTTTTCCAGAGAACCTGGCAAGAAGCAGCGTGAACGTGCTGATGTGAATTTCGACGTTAATCTTCTGTAAATCGAGTGSCCCGTRTCCGAGGGACAGCCGGGAGAAATCYGAATGACGTTTCCATAGCCCTCTGCGCGCCCGCGCTATTGAGATGAAATCTCATGGCTGGAATTCCGTGGACGCAGCTGCTGTATCAGCGCTCGGGMGATTCTGCTGTTCTGTTCAGAAGCGACCCATAAATAGCGGGGCTCCGGCGCCGCCCGGCACAGCGGAACCAACACGGACAGGTAGCGGCGGCACCGCAAGGGGATTTCACAAGGAATTTGTGTGTCTGAGTCCAGGTGTCCCCCTGGAGAGAAGGGTTTGGCGAGAAGCGAAGCTGCGGGGTTTGATTAAGGACGGTGATCAAAGGCTTTTGTTCGTCCCTTAAGCCCCTGGCTCAGCCCGTGGGAAAGGAGAGTTCCAGCGGTTTGAGCAGAGTTTTGTGGATGTTCCTGGAGAGCGAGGAGGGGGCTCTCACYGCCATCCCCCCACTGCCAAGGCGCTCCAGCTGCCGGGTTTGGTGTCCCCAGGGATGCTGGAGCGAGGGAGAGGTGTCAGGTTGATGTTTTGGGGGAAGATGTGAGCAGCTGGAAGCTGACAAATCCCTGCTGCAGACAAAGGCCGGGCTGTGAGACGGGAGCTCAGTGGCAGCTGGGCGAGATGCCCAGGGCAGGGGATCCGTGTCTTTTGGGACATGGCTCGCTTCAGTCCTGCTGAGGATGCGGGGCCGTGTGCCGGAGGGAGAGGAGGAGGAGGAGGATGGATGGATAGATGGCAGAGCTTGCTCCCAGCCTGGACATCCCTGGGGATTTACAGCTGCTGCRTTTACATAAAATCTGTGCTGACCCGTGCTGTGGTTCCCGTGCCAGCTTCATCCTGTGTGTTTTACTCACGGCTGTAGATCCCGGTGCCTYCCGTGTTAACCTGCTGCCGTTTGGGTTTTCCAGGCACCATGACCGAGCAGCAAAGTCCCCCCGAGCAGATGGCGACTGGGGAGGGTGCTGGCGAGCGAGGTGGCAACTACAAGGTATACTGGGGGCAACTGGGGGCAACTGGGGGCAACTGGATGGATGTTGGGCAGTGCCATGGGGTGCATATGCCAGGCTGGAACTGGTGCCAGCCCTGCAGGTGGTGTTGGGGACAGGAGTGGCCTCCAGCTGTCCCACAGCAGCAGCGGGTGGTGGCCCTGCTCTGGTGCTGAGCCCAGCGGGGCYGCAGGTTGGGGAAGCAGCTGGGGCTGGGATCTGCTGCTGCTGCTGCTGCTGGCAGGAAGGACTCTGCTCCCTGCCTGTGTGGCTGCCAAGAACGTTGGCTGGCCAGGCTGGGGTGCAGCTGGCCAGGATTTAACCCAGGAGAGGGATTGTTCGGCACAGTGGGATCGGTTGTTGGCCGGGCATTGAAGCTCCCTGGCAGTGTTTGTGGGTTTGGATTCAGCTCGTAGGTTGGTTGGAGGTAAATCGTAGGTTGGAGAGGGTGTTGGAGAGCTGTTCCTGGGCAGGGGAGGTTGGAGGTGAGAGCAGATCCCGTGAGTGGGGCAGAGGGGTGCCAGGAGCKGGGGCTGTTCATGGCTTTGGGGTGCACAGAGGTTCATGAGGAAACTGGGGGTCACCTCTGTCCCTTGAGCCCCCCATTATGTGGTGTGTGCAGAAGGCTCTGCCCTTGTCCCAAGCTCAGGGGGTGCAGCTGGGACCCCTTTGGGACCATCCAGAGGGTGTGATCACCCCACTGACCCTCCTGGTCCCCGAATGGGTGCTGGGCCCTTTTCTGTGCCACGCTCCAGCCACTGGGACTGGCTCCAGCCCATCCTGCAGCTCAGCCCTGAGGCGCTGCTGGGAGTGGGGGGTCCTGAGGAGGCGCTGGGGTCTCTGCACCTGGCAGGGCTGAGAAAGAAACCCTGAATAAAGAGCTTAGGAGGGAATGATTGGATCTGGAGGGAGCAGTGATAAGGGAAGGATGAGCAATGAGCAGGCTGGGGGCAGGAGAGGCAGCCCATGGCTCTGGAGGTGTCTGAGCACAAACCCCTCTGTGTTTCCAGCACTGTGTTTGAGCTGGTTTTCAGCCTCCCATGGACGAAATTCCAATTTGTGCTTTACCAACACCCTCAGTACCGGCAGGCGCGACATTGGCACGGGATGGCCGGGATGGAGGGACGTGGCAGAGCCCTCTGTTCCACTGCTGCTCCCATTTCCCATGGTGCCCCCCTGCCGTGGTGGCTCACAGCGTCTCTCCCCACCTTAGATCACAATCTACGAGCTGGAAAACTTCCAGGGCAAAAGGTGTGAGCTGACAGAGGAGCTGCCCAACATCACCGAGAAGGAGATGGAGAAGGTGGGCTCCATCCAGGTGGAGTGTGGCCCGTAAGTCCGGGGTGGGGAGGACGGAGCAGCCCCGGGGGTGTTGGGGACAGGACCCTCCTGATGTCACCATACCCCACAGGTGGCTGGGCTTCGAGCGCCAGGCCTATGCTGGGGAGCAGTTTGTGCTGGAGAAGGGCGACTACCCCCGCTGGGACTCGTGGTCCAACAGCCACAGCAGCGACAGCCTGATGTCCCTGCGGCCCCTCCAGATCGTGAGTAGGGCACTGCTGGGGTGGCWGGGCTGGGCTGGCCACAGCACTGACCACTGAGCCGTCCTTTCCCCCAGGACAGCGCTGACCACAAGATCCACCTGTTTGAGAACGCGGGCTACACCGGCCGCAAGATGGAGATCGTGGATGATGACGTGCCCAGCCTGTGGGCTCACGGCTTCCAGGACCGTGTGGCCAGCGTCAAGGCGCTGAATGGAACGTAAGGATGGGGACAGGGGGCACACGGGGACACCCCAAAGGGATCTGGTCCCACCGGGGTGGTGGCAGCTGCTCCCACGGTGCTGCTCATGTCTATCGTGTCCCCACCCCGCTGCCACCTTCTCCCCAGCCCACAGGGGCTAATGGGGACCGTGACAGCGTCCCTGGGGCTGTGTGATGGCTCCTTGCCCTGAGTCACTACCCGAGCAGTGCTCCTTTCTCCATGGATCTCCATCCCCTCCCGGCACATTCCCGCCTGGGCTCTGCAGCTGCGGTGGCACTCGGTGACACCGGAGTGTCCCTGAGGCTGTGGCAGACAGGGACACGCGGGGATGGGGATGGGGACGGGGACTGGAATGGGGATGGGGAAGGGGATGGGGTTGGGGACGAGGATGGGGACGGGGATGGGGATGAGGATGAGGATGGGGATGGCGATGGGGATGGGGATGGGGATGGGGATGGGGATGGCCGTGGGGACACCGCCCCTGCTTCTGTGGCTGTGGGGCTGGCACTGCTGAGCGCTGCCCCGGTCCCCGCAGGTGGGTGGGCTACGAGTACCCCGGCTACCGGGGCCGCCAGCACGTCTTCGAGAAGGGCGAGTACCGGCACTGGAACGAGTGGGACGCCAACCAGCCSCTCATCCAGTCCGTGCGCCGAGTGCGGGACCAGCAGTGGCACCAGCGGGGCTGCTTCGAGAACAGCTGAGGGACCCCCAGCCCCCGCCCGGGGCCGCCAGCGGGGTCCCCCGGCTGATGCCGTGACCGTGGTGTTTTTTGTGCAAAAACCTCAATAAAAGCTCTGAGCTGGAGGCTGCCGGGGCCCGCCTGCTCCTGGGCTGGGGTGGGTGGGGGTCGCGGAGTGGGGCGAGGGGTTCGGGGAGGGGTTGGTGGCCGTGCCCAGCGTCCCCCGCTCGGGGCAGTGCCGGTGTTTGCAGCGTTACATAAAGGCTGCAAGCCTTCCAAAAATAACCCCCGGTGGTGCCGCGTCAGGGTTTTTCCAGCGCCTCTGTCCCTTTCCAAAGCATCTCCTGCCCGCTCCCMGGGCGGGGAGGGGCGGGGGGGCTGCGCAGGGGTCGTGCCAAGCGCTGTGCGCTCCAAACGGGGCTCATCCCGTGGCGGGAGGGCTGTGCCCACCCCCAGCGCCCCGCAGGGTCCCCAAGGAACGTTCCCACAGTCCTGGG